TCCCCCACACTAAAGCCACACAGCCCTCGCCTGGTCCCCCAACACTCAGGGCTCATCACTTGGGACAGGAGAACACCCTTCCCCTTAGCACCCCCAGGAATCGCCATCCCTGTTGGGCACAGAGGCCCGAGGGGACACTCAGCTTTGTAAACTGGGGCACTGAGCAGGTCAGGCCTCTTCTTGGATGGCCACAAACTGAAAGTAACCCCCTAGCTTTCCAGACGTGGCAGGGTGGGAGTCCAGGCCCTGCATCTGTGGGTCACGGCCAGGCTGGGCAGCCTGGAGCCCACGGAGGGCCAAGTGGTCTGCCCCTCAGCCTCCTCCATGGGGCAATGGTACGGAGGCAGCAGCCCCCGAGGCCTGTAGCTGAGAACCTTCAGACTCTTGAGAGGCAGCTTTACCCTGAAGCACAGCCCTCCCGCCCCACACTCGTGCCACCACCCAGGCCACTGAGACCTGCAGATCTTCTTCTTTCAGAGAAGAGCCTGGAAACGGGTGGGCCACATCAGACAGCCCCTCTCAGGGAAGCACAAGTGACCTTAAAACCTCTGGCTATGAACCACCAGCCCCTCCCCCACCATGTACACATCTGAAATTTGAAATTAAAAACCATTAAAATTAAAATTAAAACGGACACTCAGCAGGGTTGGAAGCGTGAAGGGCCAGAGCGCGGCTCTCTGACCACACATGGACAATCGGTGGAGCCCGAGTCACCAGCAGCTGAGGCGGACAGAGATGCTGACCTCAGCTGGCCGGGGCTCCGCAGCGGAGGCTGCTCACTGGGGACACTGAGCACATTCTTTAAAAGGATTTTGAAATAACCAGGTTTCCAAGATCCACTTAAAGAGTGTCCCCTCGGCCCAGCGTGGGCAGTACAGTTCTTCCATTGAATAGTCTTGTCTTGGAAGTGAGCGACAGAGGTCACCAACCAAGGAACAAAGACCTCAGGATCCCGACAGCAGAAAGGCCCCAAACAGAGCAAAAGGACCAGGCCTCCCATGGCGGCCCCCAAGCACATTCCAGAAACTTAAAAGGCCCCCGGCTCTCTCTCAAGGTCCCCAGCACCAAACCCAGCCCCTCAGTACCTTGTAGCCACCACGGGATGGGACGCAGGCACCGCTCCGCACGAGGTCTCCCCAGGTAGCCGCGAGGGCCCAGGCACAGGGGAGCAGGGCAGGAGAAGGGTCAGGAGCAGCCGGCTGGCTCCTCACACTCGCCCTCCCCCACGCGTCGGCTCCCCCTCCCTCCCGGGAGCCAATGTGATCAGCAGCTGCGTCCACAAGTCATTTCTAAAATTAGCCCATGAGCTCCAGGTCTGGCCAGGGGTGGCCGTTGACCAGGCCGCGGAGAGCATGGACATATATGGTGGCACGGAGCAGGGAGGGGACAGCAAGCACATTCCCAGCCGTCATGTGTGTCCCAGGACGGGCCACACCCACCTGCTCCTGCCCCTGCCCTTGGGGAGAACCAGAGGCTGCAGAAGGGGCGAGGGAGGAAGCAGCTCCACATTCCGACCAGAGGCTGGAAGGAAGTTTCTGGAAGGAATGGTGGCACCCCCTGGTATGCAGCCAAAGCAGGAAAACATGTCTGTGGGGTAGGAAGAGCTCCCCAGGTGGCAGGCCTATTCCAGACAACGGCCCCCATGTTATAGGTGGGGAAACTGAGGCACGAAGGCTGTGCTGACCCTGGACACTAGGTGCTATGAGACGCGCTTTGCCCTGGGGCTGCAGGAGAAGCTCGGGGGTAGAGCCGGAGCTCAGCAGAACCTGGTTCTGCGCTCAAGCCCCAGCACTTAAAACCAGAAGGGCTTCACCCACTCACTGCCTGGAGGGAGAGGGGCAGGGATTCTGCCTTTCTATTTTGGGGGGTTGGGGGTTGGGTACAGGATTGCACTCCACCACTGAGCCCCGTCCCCAGCCCTATTCTGTGTTTTATTTAGAGACAGGGTCTCCCTGAGCTGCTCAGGGCCTCGCTGTGGCTGAAGCTGGCTTTGAACTCGCCATCCTCCTGCCTCAGCCTCCTGAGCCATGGGATGACAGGCATGGGCCACTGCGCCCGGCAGGGGATGTCAATAGATAAAGCAATGGAACACTAATTTCCCATGTGTGCGCTCTCCAGAGTTGGAAGGTCAATGAAACACTGAGAGGAGTGTCTGGAAATGGCCCTCCATGCAGTGCCCAGGGGATGGCAGAAGGGTCCTGGGCCCCAGGGGACAGTGACATGGGGCATCTTAGGCTGCTCCAGGGACATTGGAGACAACAGGTCCCTGGCATTTTCTCCAGACATTGGAAGGCCACCCATGCCATGCAACATCGTCCCCTGGGGCTTCTCTGTCCTTGTTTCTTTCGTGGCTGTTGGTCTGAACTGGGGGAGCTGACATTCAGAGACGATTCTGGGGCCCAGGGGTGGGTCCCCGTGAGCCGTGACCTCCGGTGGGTTCTGCTCACCCGGAGGGAATTTCCATTCTGAGGGAGTCCCCTGGTGTGTCTCCTGGTTCCAGAAGTGGGTGGGTTTTTGTCCCCCAGCACAGCCAGGCATGACATCCGTGGGCCGTGCTGTGGTTCAGGGTGGCCCTTGCATGCAAGATGTCACCCAGTGTTGTAGGGACAGACAAGGCAAGGCACCGAAGACAGCAGGAAACAGTTTTATTTGGCTGCAGCCAGGTTCAGAGGGCACAGCTTTGCTGTAATCAACCAATCCCCTGAACCCCGAGTTCAGGGAGTTTCAGAGTTTTATCCCCAGCATGTAAGGGGAGGGCTCAGAAGTTCACAGTCTGCAGAAGTTCACATAAAACAGCTTTTTCTTTCGTTGTTCTGGGCAAGTTAACCCTTCAAGGATCGCACCTGAGAAAGGGAGAGCTTCTTCTCCCCTTTCTTTCCTCCCCTGCCTGCTGTGACCATGGAGCCCAATTGGTCACTTATCTTAAAAATGTAGACACCTCTGTGAAGCCCAGCTCAAGGCCAGAGGCCTGGTTTGCTCATTTCTACAAATTACTATACTGAATACGTTTGAAGAACTAGTAAGGGGGTGTCCAGCACCTGGAGTGCTGGTGTCTTCCCAGCCAGTGGCCAAGTAAAACAGGGCGACAGGAAAATAGGAAGTTTATCTACATTGCAGAGACTCGTTGGCTGAGAGTCCTAGTCAGCCATGGTGAGGATTTCTGGAGAGGCCCAGGTAAGGCTTTCTGTGGAGAAACGGGGTGACACTCCAGCTAAGCATTTCCCTCCCAGTCCCCAGGGAGGAGCCGAGGAAGGGAAAGTGAGGGCTTCTCACCGGGGCCTCGGGAGAACTGGCCACTAGGGCCCATCATCCCCATCAGCAGGGGGTCACCAAGAGAGTGGCTCACGGTGCTATTTGGGGGCCTCTGGACAGTGCAGGTGGCCATGCGTCCCTCTGGGCAAACACCTGGCCGTCGCCCACCTGATGTGGGGCTCCTGGCGCTTGCCCTGGACACTCGACCTTTTCAGTGGTGAGTTCAAGGTCCCCAGAATGGCCAAAGGACTGTGGCATTTCACTGGGACAACTGACCTCAGTCTCCTGGTCATCCTCATGCTTTCTGATGGGACACACAGAGGGA